TGTTTTTCAAGTAAGGTGCATGGCAAAATAAGAGGCTAACAGGAGAAATCAGTATCATTACGTTCTATGGGATTTAATAGACGGCAGGTTTGTTTCCTTTAATGACCGCCATCCCTTTTTCTAGGCCGAGGGGCAATAATTTTATGATTGGGCACCAGCAGCTTGAGTAGACGTTGGCACTCTCGGGGTGCCCTCGTACCATGTGTCGTACCATAGAAAGCAGAGCGGATCCTATTGATTCTTATAAAACAAGATTTATTTGTAGCCTAGGTAGAGTGCACCGGCTGTAGACATGGGACCTTCCAAACAGGGGTCAACCCTTGTCCCATCCAACGGCACTGAGCACTGCACTTCCTGTAGCCAAAATTGAATCCTATCCAATCAGAAAGATCCGTGCCGCCCATTCTGAACAAACCAGGAACCTTGTCAGGGGCACTCAGTGTACCATCTGTGGACAGGAACTGCTACAACCTCATATAATGCTAATACTTTGCCAGTTAAAGTAGACGTGAACCCAATTCGGAAAATTCCATATAAGCCTAAGTCATTTTTTAATCATTTTAATAGTAATTTTCGATATTCTTAAATCCGCAGCTTCAGTAAAATACTCCCTGGTGATCCTGCCATGAAGGTCCCTGTTTACAAGCACTTCCTGTTATAGGGTGACAACACTCTATGCTTGTTCAGACACTTCCTGTTATAGGGTGACAACCGGGGCTATCCCTATTATAAGGCAGCCTGAGGCTGTTGCCTCAAGCGGCATCTCTTTCGGTCACACGGGTGACCCAAAGAGAGTGTCCCAGGTTGCTAAGAGCTGGGCGGGGACATGTGTAAGGGCCATACCTATCTCCCCGCCCAGCTCTTAGTAACCTGGCTGGTGTCCCACCCAGTTCCTGCTAACCAGTGAGGTCGCTGAACTGGGTGGGACGCCAGCCAGAGCTTGGAGGTGAGATGTGTAAGGGCCATACTTATCTTCCCACCCAGCTCTTAGTAACCTGGCTGCGTCCCTCCCAGTTCCTGCCAACCAATGAGCTCGCTGAGCTGGGTGGGACGCCAGCCAGAGCTGGGTGGTGAGATGTGTAAGGGCCATACCTATCTCCCCGCCCAGCTCTTAGTAACCTGGCCGGGATCCCGCCCAGTTCCTGCCAACCACTGAGGTCCCTGAACTGGGTGGGACACCGGCCATAGCTGGGTAGTGATATGATCCACATAACCCCCATCCCTGTTAGCATGATGCAGCACCCATTCATGCCAACACCCCCCCCTCCCCCCCTCACCTGGAACATGCACCATTAGCACACATCCCCCACAGCCTCAGGTGGTGAGAAGGCTGGGCACACTCTTGATAATAACGCTCTGTGCTTGTCTCCAAATCATGCTCCTGTGTTGTCACCCTATCACACAAGCTTCCAAGGGGGGGTTTCAACACACATTACACAGACATGGAAACCCGTCCTGAGAAATGCCCTGCCAGCCATCGCTGGAGCGCATGTAGACAGGAAGTGGCCGCACAGAGGCTGCAGGAGATCAGCAACACTGAGATGGAACAATGTATGAAAAAAAGTGAAATCAAGTAAAAAAGAAAAGCAATTGTTCATAATACAGTTATCGAGCAAACCAAATGTTCGTGTTCACAGCTATTTTAACCACCCGCAGATACAATAGTGTAGAAAATGTCACATAGTAATTATTTTAAAAACATCACATGCATCACACGGCTGAACCCGAACCCGTCAGCCGCACAATCATTGAACAGACGTCATATATTCCGGGTCTGCCATCTAGTGGTCCTCAGTGGAATTACACTCGCTTCATGCAAAAAGAAAAAATACTCCCCCAAGTCAGCTTCACATATACAAACACTGGTATTAAAGGACCACAACAATGTAACATATGGCAGCTGCCCGGTCCTTAGATGTGGTGGCCGCGTTAGTTTTATTTTTTCAGGCTAAAAACATTTTCAGCAAGTGGATAATACTGATTGATCCTGCCCGAAATGCTGTACTCTTGTCACTACCTGGAAGCATGGGACAATGTGTATACTACTATTCCCATCATCTCCATGTAATGGAGATGACATGTTTGAAGTCCAGCCTGAGTGACAACTAGGGATGCACCAATACTGATACCGATATCGGTACTGGGCATGTTCCTGAGTACTTGTGAAAATGTCCGGAAGCTAAGTGCTGATTCTGGCGCTTTAAATAGTTAGACTGAAGCCAGCGCAAGCAGCACATCTACTCCTCCACACAGCCTCCTGAGACTCCAAACAGCCCTGCTGAGCCCCCACACAGCTCCCTGAGAACCCACACAGCCCTCCTGAGACCCCACTCAGCTCTGCTGAGACCCCACACAGCCTCCTGAGACCCCCACACAGCCCTATTGAGACCCCCACACAGCCCTCCTGAGACCCCCACACAGCCCTCTTGATACCCCACACAGCCCTAATGAGACCCCACACCTCCTCCTGAGACCCCCACTCAGCTATGCTGAGACCCCACACAGCCTCCTGAGACCCCACACAGCCCTACTGAGACCCCACACATCCTCATGAGACCACTCAAAGCCAATTAGAGACCCTGCACAGCATTCTGAGACCCCACAAAGTCCTTCTGAGCCCCCCCACAGCCCCCCCCCCCCGAGACCCTGGACAGCCTCCTGAGACCCCATACAGCCTTCTAAGATACCGTGCAGGCTCCTGAGACTCCACACTGCCCTCCCGGAGACTCTACACATCATCCTAAGACCCCGCACAGCCTCCTGAGACTCCACACAGCTTTCCTGAGACCCCACACACAGCTTTCCTGAGACCCCGCACAGCCCTCCCGAGAGCCCACACAGCCTCCTGAGACCCCACACAGTATTCTGAGACCCCGCAAAGCCCCCCTGCTTGAAATAGGAAATGGGGCCGCCACATCTAAGGACTGCCCAGTTGCAATGTGTTACATTTTTATCTTTGTGTTTCGATACATTGTACCATTCTGCCCTTGCACAGGGACAACGGTCATCTGGGGATCTCAGACGTTTCATACCAATACTGTGTTCATCCATTTTTATAAATACAGATCTCCACCCCCAGAATAAACCCCATCGCCAGCACACAAGACAGAACATAAAGCATACTGGTTCATCAAAACACTGACTGGTGGTAATGGATACTGATTGTAATGTCTTCCTGCATCTCGCTGGGTGACATCATCATGAAAAATACATCAAATCCAACATTGGCTTTTCCAGCATAAATCAATTTACATTAGATCTGAACCCAACCAGGATCATCGTAAATAAACTTTAACACAATGTAATTTAAAAGGTTTTCAATAAAATAGTCCCTGGTGATCCAACCATGACTGCCTTGTTCAGTTACTCCCTGTTACAGGGCGACAACGCTCTGTCCCTGTCTCCCAATTGTGCTCCTGCGTTGTCACCCTGTCCCATGGAGGCCATAGATTGAACCCACAGATTATTGGCAACTAATCTGCAAGATGAGAGCGCCATCTAGTGGATGAGAGTATTATAGGCGACCAATCACTTTGTATGTTTGAAGTAGATGTAACCCCAGTCGCTACAATCTCATGAATGATTTAAAAGGTTAGTGTAGTTTCAAAAGTCATTTAAATATGGCCCCCTCCAATCTGCCCCCCTCCCCCCCTACTATACTAGTAATACTTACCTTTTAGCGAACGCTCCTTCCCCTCCCCGTACTGCCGTGTAGCGCAGCCCTGCGCTCTGGATTTAAAATTTTGCTTCTGACCTCGCTGACCAATGAGAAATGCCTCCTGCTAAGAAGCGCTTCTCATTGGTCAGCGTGATCTGGTGACTGTGCTGACCAATAGGTGGTTTCCATTTGTGAGCGAAATTCTAAATCCAGATTGCAGGTCTGTGGTACACAGCAGTGCGGGATACTGATAGGAGGGGAAGGAGCTTTCACCGACAGGTAACTATAGCAGGGGAGGGGACAGGTGGCCAGATTGGATTGAGTAATTCCATTTTCACCTGGGAAAGTGGACTAACCCTTTAAATCTGCAGGTTCCAATCAAGCAATACCTGGTGATCCTGCCTAAAGATCCTTGTTCAGGCAATTCCTATTATAGGGTGACAACCAGGGCCGGATTTACTCTCTGCTGCCCCAAGGCCAGGTTTCTCAATGCACCCCCTACCTCCAACCCCCTGCCCCCCACCACCACCATGGAGAACGGTAGACCTGCAGGCTGCATACAATGTCGCTGAGATCACTTGTACAAAACAAGTGGTGGCTTCCCCCTCTGTACATTTAGCTCTGCTTGCCCAAAGCAGGGCTAAATGTAGAAAACAACTACCCGCCTGGGCATCGGGCGGTAAGAATTCCACACCCCTGCTGCCCCGAGCCCGGGCCTTGGTTGGCCTTGTGGGAGATCCAGCCCTGATGACAACGCTTCGTCCCCGTCTCCCAATTGTTCTCCTGCATTGTCACCTTGTCAAATGTTCTTCCGGCAGAGCTACAAGTGGCCATTTCAGCACACGTGACACAGACATGGTCCACCATTGTCACCATCAGGAAACCTGCCCTGACTCCGAGAAGTTATTTATGATACACAGTCCACAGAAGAAGGTAACTGCCGTCCGTTCGGGTTCAGATCTACTTGAAATGAAATACATGAAAGTATAAAAAGGTAAACAATCCTATTTATCTAAACTAGCCCAGGATGGAGAATGAAGAGGCTACGGGTTACATGGTCTTTCCTCTGAACTCCCATGCAGATCTACAACGTGTGTTCAAATCAAGTCTGTAGCCATGTCACTGGACAGTCAATGCCTCGTTGTATTGTTCTATCACTTTGATTGTTCATCTTATGAAAATAAAAAACATTGCGGCTACAAAATCCCGCAGATAAGGAATCATCTGTTTCCCCGCTGTTGGACTTTCCATCACCACATATGACCCTTATGGGCCCATCAGGTTGCTTCTAGACAGCACTAATCCTAAACAGAACGAGGCATGGGACTGAAGTGATCTGGCACTTGCCATGCTTCAGGAATCTCAATTACAAGGTTTCGGAACGGCTCTACTGGCCAAAATGTGAGCAGATTAAGGTCACGGCATCCTTGCGCTGCAGTCTCTGAAGGGTCTGTACCAGCTGCAGCAGTGTACAGGACATACTGGTGGACAAGTGAGCGTGCAAAGCTTGGAATCCTTGCATGCCATCCACAAGAAAGGGTTGTACCCCCAGCGCCACTCCGACGTCGTTGAAATCCTTGTGTCCCGGCGTGGAACTGTCCAGCTTTAGTGCAAGTAGGGCGACCAAGGAGTCTGGCATTTGGGAGACAGGAAGGTCTAGTAATGGAAAGAAGATAAGTTATATTATAAACAACAGTGACAAGAAAATACACTATGTGGACGAATGATTGTGGATATCTGGCCATCACAGCTTTATGAGCTTGTTGGGCATCCAATTCCAAAACCAGGGACATTAAAATATGGGGCCCCCCCCCCCCATGTTCATGAATATAAAGTCGGCCCCCTTTGCAGCTATAACATCCTCCACTCTTCTAGGAAGGCTTACAAAAGGTTTTCGAGAATATCTTTAGAAATTTGTGCCAAAGTTGGTGGATATCTGACCATCACACCTATATAAACTTGTTGGACATCCCATTCCAAAACAGAGTTGGTCCTACCCAACATGGCCAATAATATGCAGCTGTTCCTCCCAACATGGTCATTAATATGGAGTTGGTCCCTCCCAACATGACCATTAATATGGAGTTGTTCCTCCCAACATGGCCATTAATATGGAGTTGTTCCTCCCAACATGGCCATTAATATGGAGTTGGTCCAACCCCATGACCATTAATATCTTGGAGAGTGACTGGAAATTTGTCCCATTTGTGATGTCAGGTACTGATGTTGGATGAGAAGACCTGGCTCACAATTTGCATTCCAATTCATCCCAAAGGTGTTCAGTAGGGTTGAGATCAGGGCCCTCTACAGGTCACTTGAGTTCTTCCACACCAAACTGTTTAAACCATGTCTTTATGGAGCTGGCTTTGTACACAGATTCAGTTTATGGCTTTAACAGCCTCTACTCTTCTGGGAAGGCTTCTACAAGATTTTGGAGGGTGTCTGTGGGAATTTGGGCCCATTTGTAAGGTCAGGTACTGATGATGGATGAGAAGACCTGGCTCTCAATAGGCATTCCAATTCATCCCAAAGGCATTCAGTAGGGTTGAGGTCAGGGCTCTGTGCAGGACACTTGTGTTAGGTTTAGGTCTGTCTAATGGCTCTGACACTACTGAGAAGAGTCGGTTCTTTCATCTGACACAATGTAACAAATGACTAAGCATCAGGAAGAACATATTATAAACAAAATGCAAAGAAAGACTTAACTGCTTCTCGTTTTTTTGTCTTTCCATTCTTGGTAAACCAGATACAATCCACACATGTATCTTGACCTAAGAGGAGCTATTTCCTTTATGTATTTTTAGTTATTTGAGAAAGATAATCTTATCAACGGTTGTTAATTTGTAATACTCTACATATATGGAGGCAGCCATTTTGATTCCCTTATTTTAGTACTGCTTTAATACAATATGATTCTCCACAGTAGTGATTGGTGGCCAGAAATCACGTGACCTTGGCTGCCTAGGCTGGGAAACAGCCGATTATTAAACTTTTGGCAACACAGAGGTACATTTGTTTTTACTTGTTAGCAAGAGCTCAAGGAATGCAAAGAGATGGCAAGGGGGCATAGCTGGGTAGGCAGTGTCCGGGCCTGAGCGGTCAATCACCATGCCCAAAACATGGTCACTTGGCAGGTGCCAAGATATCCTCTTCCTGTCTAAGCTCTGACACCAGACCGTAACTTAGACCGGAATGGTCCTATAGCTGGGACATGGCAAAGTAGTGTGCTGTGTAAGTATACATTCCTGGGGGAGGTGGGTCAATGTGCAGCTATGAATGGCAAACGTGACAGTGTCTCTTTATACAATATTCAGCCGTTCTTATAGCTTATTTTATGGAAAAAAAATGAAGCTCTGACACTTACCTAGAGCAGCAGTGTTCAAGCAGGACACAATGTCTTCACTTTTCTATAAAAGAAAATATTTCTTGTCATATCTTATTGGTTATATTACAGAGAAAGCATCAATGGTGGTGTAAGAACTGCAATCACTGAGGTATGGAACGGAAAAGAGGATGGGGGGGCTTAAAGTTCTGAAACAATATCTGTCCAAGAGTGACAAAGCTGCTCCTCTGTGATGCAAAGATGTCAGCTATCCTGGATTTTCCATGACAGTCTGGTATCTCAGAGCTGACGTCCCAGGATCACAGCATCGCCCTACCTAGAGATACCGATCATGCACAGAAACCACAAAAATGGGATCTCGGCCATGAGTGAGTGGCTGCCACATATTGTGGATTGGAACCA